GATAAGCGCTGCATTTTCCTGTTACACAGAAACTGGACAACAAATAATACAGCTACCTCTCCAAGAACTTGATAATTATCCCAATGTTTTCAGGGTACCCTAAAGATTTCACTGCTCAGACAGCAGGAAGTAAATTTAAGAACAAAACACCAATATTCCCAAGAGGTGATGTGTGTAGATTTTGGTCATTCAATGGATTATGGATGTTTGTCATCATTTAGGGTGGTTGGTTACAAGTTGTTATTGGTAATGATTAGGAAAAGACTTGAGCAAAGGAGATTTGATTCAGGGATCTTGTTTTGAAAGGAAAAACGGGGAATATAGTTATAGTAGGATAGAAGTGTAGATTATTGAATCTACTCTGAAAAAAGGGAGGACAGATATGATAGGATAAAAATATAGATTATTGAATCTACTCTGAAAAGAAAAAGGGGGTATAGATTGGATAGAATAGGATAAAGAGGTAGATTGTTGAATCTGATTTTCAACAAAAAAGCATCTACCATTTTTAAATACTTTACCTTTATTTGGATTTTTGTATATTGATATAAATTTGAGGTTATTTTTATTAGAACATACTGTACATACAATTCTACTCCTGTGCAAGGTATTGTACCCATGCAACTCATTTAACAATATAATGAAAATTACTAGTCCTTGAAAGTTATTACTATAAACTATTTAGGATAATAAAGAAATGGAAGGTTGTTAGTTAGTCACCAGTAGCAAAAAAACCCTTTGTAGTCAGGTTAGGTATGTTTTCAAGGTCAAAGAAAGCTATATTTTAGATAGACAGGTCATCTTAACACGCTTCATACATCTATAGAATGTGGCATTTAAGATATGTTAATAACATAGGTTCTCCGCCCCTTTTTAACTAACAATGAGATATGTGTGATCCTGGCAGCACCAATCTACTTCAGAGAAGATGATGGGTGTAGCTAGAGTTTTCCTGCCTTGCCCACAGTCAGGACAAATCTCTGTCACCCGCCAGTCCCACAGCCGCTCAGACCCAGCCAAGCAAACACAGAGACTTATATTGCTTACAAACTGTATGGCCGTGGCAGGCTTCTTGTTAACTGTTCTTATATCTTAAAGTAACGCATTTCTACAAATCTATACCTTGCCACGTGGCTCGTGGCTTACCAGCATCTTCACATGCTGCTTGTCCTGGCAGTGGCTGGCAGTGTCTCCTTCTGCCTTCCTGTTCTTTTATTTCTCCTCTGTTAGTCCCGCCTATACTTCCTGCCTAGCCACGACCAATCAGGTTTTATTTATTGACCAATCAGAGCAACTTGACATACAGACCATCCCCCAGTACAGCCAAGTGCAGACCATCTCAGACACCTGCACTCAGGCCCATGGTCCTAATCATCCTCTATGCAAACCTGCTGAGTAACGCCACAAGGAACCCAAGAAGGGCTCCCACAGGACATACATTAACATCCCACAGCAGATGGGCATTGGAGAATCTCCATATGGAGTTTCCTTTCCTTGTGGCAAATGTTAGACACTGGGAAAGAAAGTGCCCTTGCCTCAACTGCTGACTGTGTGCTGTCCAAAATGGATAAGCAGGACACAAAAGAAAGAACTGCCAAACTGTGCCAAGAAATGATAGGACAGCCTTTCAGAATCACCTGCTTCACAGCAATTTTTTGTTATATATAGTTTTACTTTGTTAAAATTAAAACATTCCTTTTCAATTAGACAAAAACGAGGAAATGATGTGAAATAATCTTTCTGCACACTGTGAGGATGCATTGCTTTTGTTGTTAATAAAAAGCTGATTTACCCAAATCTAGGAAGAATTTTTGGGGCAGAGAGAATACTGGGAAGAAGGGCAGAAGCAGAGGAATCACCAGGATGGAAAGGAGAAAGAGATAAACATACCACATAGAGAAAAGGTACTGCCAAGTGGCAGAGTGTAAATAAGACATATGGGTTAATACAACATGCAAGAGCTAGTTAGTAATAATCCTAAGCTATCAGCTGAGCACTAATTAAAAAAAGGGGGAACTAGGGACTCATCATTCCTCCCCACATTCTATTCTTTCCCTTGTTTTATATATTTTAAATTTTTATCAGTGGATTCTACTGGAGTATCTGCTGCAGATAAGCACTGGAGGGCTCCTGTTGCAAATCATCATCTGGAGCGATGGAAGGATCTTTCTACTGGCACTTAGAGGAGACCCAATCTGGTGTTGGTGTGGGCCCAGGGCTCTGTTTATGTCTTTCCCTCTTTGGATTCCTGAGTTCTGTGTGTGTCCACTGGCTGCTGCTGAAGCCCTACATGGCAGAGACCTATTGGGCCTTCATGAAAAACTCTCCCCTTCTGATGCCAATGGAGATTGAGAGCCCAATATGGCCAGCCTTGGCAAGCATTAACACAAGCCTAAGAACTGTAGACATGCAGTTGGATTCTACAGAAGGTAATGCATGGTAACTACTTTTTCAAGTATGTTTGAGAACGTGTCACCCAGACACCTTAGAGAATAAGGATAACCCTGAAGGTCACTGACCTCCATTTGTTAACAGTTGCATGCCAGCTAAGCCTTTTCATTTTCACAATCCTCTTCAAGCTGGTGTAGTACCTACTTTTCAGGAGTGGCTGTGTACAACATTTATTGGCCTCCTGAAATTCATTTAGCCCCCTTTGAAGATACCTTAAAATTTCTGAGCCTGAATGCAGCCATTATGAGACTATTAGTTATGCTCCTTGTGAGCTGCCTGGTTTTTCTTTATGGTTCTTAGTCGTTCTTTTGCAGAGATACCAGCTTAAGTCGTGCTGGGATCAAGAAAAATGAGCCTTGAGAGTTCATGTTCCTGGAGGTGTATCGATGCCAGTGGATGCCCATACGCTCCAGAAGAGATTTTGACATCGCTGCTGCCATTGTTGCTGTTATAGTAGTGGTGGCCACTGCTGCTACTGTTGCTGGGATTACCATTTCACAATTGCTTACTACACCTAGCACAGTGGAGACCCTGGCAGCAAAAGTAGCTACCACAGTTAGTTAATTTTTCATTCTATTGGACATGATAAATTTAATTCAATAGTTATATACAATTCAATTGGCTTTGAAAATTATAAATTTATAAACTCAAGACTTGCTTTTGGGATACCATCTTACAAGGAGTCCAATTTGCAATAAGGCTCATTAAGGAAGGGAATGGCTCAGTTGCCTTTAGCCTACTGGCTATGGTTGGGTTATGACTTCTGTTGGTCTTTTCTGTGTCAAACACACAGATTACAAACCCAGCACCACTTTGAGATCTTTGCAGCTGTTATCTCTGCAGCTCACACACGATTGAGCCTGTATGATAGAGTATTTAGAGATGGCTAATGCCTGGGGGGCACTCACCAACCTAAGGCAGAGTGCCTGTGTGGCCTGGGCAGGTGTCTCCATGATGGGTAAGGTGACATCCTGACGTCCCAGGCAACCTAAGTCAGAATCTCATTTTCTAGCAAAAGGGGGACCTGTAGGGCCCTGGCCCCTGTTTTGGGTAACTGCTGCCTTGCTTGCTGACCTTGACCTTGAGATCCTCCCTGTGCCAATTACCTGCCTGGTTCCACCCTCCTGAATGCTTAAGGGAAGTTCCTTGTCCATATATCCTGCATAATGGGCATTAACAGCTTAGATGCAAGATTGTAAAACATTGGTAGCAAACTTCTGCCCTATGGGGTTCTCCTATTGTGCTGTAAGCCTGAATTTAAGACCTCCTCCCTCTTTCAATAAACGGCATTAGTCAAAAAATAATAATAATAATAATTTTAAGTCTCCAAGTAGTTATTTGGGAGTGGCTGGTGGGACAGAGCTGATAATGGACCTATGAAAAATACCTCCTACACTCCACAGTCCAGATCCCATTACAAATGTGGAAGCCAATGAAAGTACATACTTAGAGGAAAATTGAGAATCAGCAAGAGACCTTGAGAAGAAGAGACCACAAGATCTCTTCCTACCATTAGATTCACGATAATGTTAACCAAGAGTGCTTCCTATAGGACTAGCCACAGGGGCTACTCTGACTGAAGCTCCAACAAAACATTTTACTATCACTTATGTATCTGGGAATATCAGGTATATACATAAATGTTTATAATTTCTCTAACAAGCTGAGACTTAGAATATATCCAAATATCAGCTATACCTAATATATGATAAATATATTAACTTGAAAAAAGAAAACAAACCCAAAATCCTGTGGAGCCTTACAGCACTCTCCACCCTAAATCTACTAACTGTCATGAAAGAGAGACACACAATCACTGTATCCAAAGTAGTTTGATGGGCACCCTTGAGTCAAAAAGGTAAGGCCTTGTAGCTCATTCTGTCCTACTGTTCCTAGGTTGAATGGCCAGACCCTGCTAAACCAACTGGTGGTAAAAGTGATGAAAATACCAAACAGCCTCTGTTAAATTAGTGCACTTACGGCCCACTTCAGCCTATTTATACAACATGTTAATGCTTTGACTCTTCCCTAAGATCAGTGTGGAATGGACTGAGCAAAGTGGCTCAGGTTTGCATGAGTTTTATCCAACTGCTCCCCTCCCCCAAATTGTTCTAATCGACAGAACTGAAACTGTTGAGCTTTCTGTCTCTGCCTACCTCTCAGTGATGGAATTGTGGGTTTGGCTTAATAAACCCAATCATGCTCACTTTGGTGTAGCGATCTTTTTGGCATGAGTCTACTCTCAACTTCCGCAAATAAATGGCTCTCAGTGTGGCCAGCATGCAGTTCTTGTTCCCTGCACCTTACACTTTAATGGAGACACAACAACACCACCCTTAGAAGTCACTGTAAATAGAGGAACAGCTCTCTGTCGGGGAAATACAAAGCTTAAGAGGGTTAACCATCATAAAAAAATGAGAGATTTTTCTTTGACAAGAAAAACATGGAGAGACCTAGAGAATGTTTCCCATAGCATCATATATCAAGGCACATGTGAAACCCTGTCTTTCTGTTAAATATTTGGACCCAAACCCCTCATTCCTACACACCTGGCTGCACGTTGGCTGCTGCTTGTCTCTTCACATCTGAAGATTCTTGTCTTTGCTCCAGAAATGTCACCAGGTGTGGCTTAGACACAGCAAGACCTGATTGTAGGAAACAGGGAGAAGTTGGTTTATGTGTTCTTTTACTTGGAATTGTCATGTGCCTTCCAGTACATGGGTTATAAGGAAAGAGATGATGTAGTAAATGATTGAAGACAATCAGTTCCTTGAACGTTTTCTGACAGGATCACTACACCACATAAAATCTAGAATTTATAATATCTAGATTCTGAGTTTCATTTAAAGGGAAAAGAACATCAAAAGTGAATTATGAAACACTTTAATTCATAAGTGTGCTCCAAGTCTCATGCCACTGAATTTCTAACAGTCCCACTAGAATGAAGGACATATACATCCAACATAGAAAAGTTAAACACAAAAAGAGAACAACAGTGAAATGATTCTTTTTTTTTAATAATTTATTTTTATTTTTCATACGCATTGGTGTGAAGATGAAGTTTTAATTTAATTTTATGAATAAAAAATTGGAGGTCAGATATCAGGAAAAGAACCTGAAAGATCAGAGAAGCTGGGAAGCAGCCACCAGTGACCTTCTACCTCTTCCATTTCTATATTCAAAAGAGCTGAGATCCTGTCTCAGCCCCTTATCACTTTTTGTCATTCTCTCCACAATCCTCCAAACCTCTATGGTCAGACAGTGGCTAGCTCTGTCCTCTGAGCTAACTTTAGCAAGCTTTATATGTGAGAACACAAAAAAATATCATACAGCATGAAGGTGTCAGCTATTGGGATTACAAATAGCTGTGAGCTGCATATTGGTGCTGGGAAATTAATCCAAGTCCTCTAGAGAAGTATTCGGTGCCCTTTACTATGGTGATATTTTGTTCCTCAAAATATTGTGCACCCTAAAAACTTATCTGTGGTCAGAGAACAGAACAGCCATTAGATATAGAGGCCAGAAAATGGTGGCACACACACCTTTAATACTAGTATTCTGAAAGCAGAGATCCATCCAAATCTCTGAGTTCAAATGCCACACTGGAAACAGCCAGGCATGTTAACTGTGGGAACCTGTTCTCGGGTTCCTCATGGCTTTACTTAGCACATCCGTATAGAGGATGATTAGGACCACAGGCCTGAGTGCAGGTGTCTGAGATGGTCTGCACTTGGCTGTGCTGGGGGAGGAGGTCTTTTGCTCCACCCCTTGGCATCTCTATAAAAACCTTGGGGCAGAGACAGTTGGGGCCCGTTGGAAAAGGTTCCAGGCCCTCTTGAGGCTATCCTTTATTTTCTATCTCTTTTTCTCCACAATAAATCCTTCTATCTAATATTTCCTGCTGCTCACACTCAAGAAAACTCTGGGGAGCTGTGGTGTTGGTGGGTAACCGCCCCACAGTTAACACATGCCTTTAATCTGAGAAAGTGATGGCAAGAAGCAGAAAGGTATATAAGGGTGAGGACCAGGAACTAGAGCCTCTTTAAGCCTATAGCTTTTAGCAGCAGTTCAGCTGAGATCCATCTGGATGAGGACTTAGAGGCTTCCAGTCTGAGGAAATGAGATCAGCTGAGGAATTGGCAAGGTGAGGTCAACTGTGGCTGGTTCTGTTTCTTGGAATCTTTCAGCGTTCACCCTAATACCTGGCTCCAGGTTTGTTTTTATTAATAAGACCTTCCAACAATTCATGCTACTCTTTACAACTGAGCAATCTCACCAGCCCCAAAATGATTTTTAATACAGCCATCTTCCTAATTTTTCTGAAAATGAAGGATATGAAAATGGCTTTTGAAATGCTCCCATGAGATACCGTACAAATTGAGGAAGCCACATGTTGATGGTGAAATAAGAATTCACTATGGATGAGAGCCTCACCAAGGAAATCAAGGTTGCTGTAATTCTCCAACATCACATCCCTGTACAAATTCCACTGAGCAGGCTCCAGGCATTCCCTTTCTTCTGGAGAGAAATCAATGGCCACATCCCAGAAGGACAGTATTTCCTGAAATAAAGATCAATGAATGATATCACACTTTTAATTAATTAAAACCACTAATAATATAAATACCAAGATGCATTGGGCTGGAGAATTCTCCTGTCAACTTGACACTAGCTAGGGTCATTTGATAACAGAGAAACATAATAGAGACAATGCCTACCTGAGACTTCCTGTAGCTAATCCTAGGCGGTATTTTACTAATTACTGATTGAAATGACATAGCACAGCCCATTATGGGTGGTACTTGTCCTGGACATGCTTTTCTATGTGGTGTAGGAAAGCAGGCTAGGCAAGTCAGTAAGCAGTGTTCTTCTGTGGCCTCTGCTCCAGTTCTTGCCTCAGGTTCCTGCCTTGACTGCCCTCAGTGATGGACAGTTACCTGAAGTTGTAGTCTAAATAAACCCTTTCTTCTCCAAGATGTCTTTCATCATGGTCTTGATCACAGCAATAGAAACCCAAACACAGGCATCGTGTGCCTGTGGACACAAATCTAGGTTTTTCCCAGGATGAAAGAGAGCTGGAAATGTTTCTTACATAGGTGAGTAATAGTCCTCAGGCAAGTCTGAAGTGGTCACATGATCTCACTCTGCACCCATCTTCAGGGAAACACAAGGTCAGAGATCATATAAGCGCAGTTGGACATAACCCATTTAGGACAGATGGAATATAGAAATAAATGCATCCACAGAACATGGATTCAGTACCATATGCTACTATACACCACACATATATACACATACAGAAAAAAGTCATGGTGAGGGAGAAGGAGTTTCTCAACAGTTATCCACAATGATGAATGTGAAGTGAGATGAAAATACAGAGTCTGATGCAGCAGCTCGGGCTGTCATCTGGGTTTCAGGATTTCTACAGATTCACTGATGATGCAAATGATGGTGACAAGGGACGTGAGACGGAGCAGGCAGGGGCAGAACTCACAGACTGAATGTCATTTATGTATCTGATCATGTGAGAAAACAGGCAAGTACAGGACTAACAACACTGTTGAGAATTTAGCATAAAATACACATCACTGGAACTTTTTCCCATTTTCCTTTCTGTCTTTTCTGACAGGTATTGATTGAGGCATTTGCAGTATTCCTAAGGCATGTTTTGCAATATGACACCGGTGCATCAGAAGATGAGAAGTATAATTGCTCATGCTATTTTTGTATTTCAAATGTTCCTAAATTAATGTTTTGCATGTTTTATTGAGTAAAGTCCTGTGGTGGTATTGTGTTCCCCAAAATATTGTGTACCCTAGTAAACTTATCTGGGGTCAGGGAACAGAAAAGCCACTAGATACTTAGGATAGGCAGTGGTAGCACACGCCTTTAATCCTAGCATTCCAGAGGCAGAAATCCATCTGTTCAAGGATACAGCCAAGCATGGTGACTCACGCCTTTAATCCCAGGGAGTGATGGCTGAAAGCAGAAAGGTATGTAAAGCATGAGGGCCAGAAACTAGCAGCATTTAGCCTGGTTAAGCATTTGGCTGGTTAAGCATTTGGCTGGTTAAGCATTTGGCTGGTTAACCTTTTAGGTTTTGAGCTTCACAGTTCAGCTGAGAGCCATTCAGATATGAGGACACAGGGGCTTCCAGTCTGAGGAAAACAAGATCAGCTGAGAAGTTGTCCAGGTGAGGTTAGCTGTGGCTTGTTCTGTCTCTGTGATCTTCCAGTGTTTACCCCAATACTTGGCTCCAGGTTTTATTTTATGAATAAGACCATTTAAGACTCCTGCTACAAAGTCCCTGAATGATCTATGGGAGTAGTCATACATTATTTTTCCTTCTTATCAATACAGGAAATATCAGTAAATATTTTATGTAATAATGAGGCATTTTGTAATAACTTTGTGGTTAACCTTTGGATTCTCTTCCTAATTATGGTATGGTCACCTCCTCAAACACTATCTTCCAGGCTTCTGAATGTACCCCATAATGCTGACAGACATCCGGCATTCGGGACAACAGTACTGGGGGCTTCTCCCTCCTATCACACTGTCCCAGATCATTCATGGTTCAGGAAGTGTAGCTGGCATTTTTCTTTGGGTCACAAGCCAGCTCCCAAGTAATGACACAGAGACTTCTTATTAATTATGAAAGCTTGGCCTTTAGCTTATGCTTGTCCCACTTGCTCTTATAACTTCATTTTCCCTGTTTCTAGTCATCAGTTTGCCTTGTTGCTTTTACTTTTCCTTCATTCTGTATGTCCTGCTTTCCTGCTTCCTCATGTCTGTCCAGCTGGCCCTTGGCATCTCCCTCTGTCTCTGTCTCCCAGATTCTTCCTCTTGCTTTCTTTGCACTGTACCTCCTGGCTAGTTATTGGCCATTTTATTGCATGAATCAGGTACTTTAGGCAGGCAAGGTAAACAAATGCAACACATCTTTACACAGTTAAACTAATATTCCACAACATAAACAAATGCAAAACATTTTTACATAGTTGAACTAATTTTCCACAACAAGAAATTCCCCAAGTGTTGGCTTCCTGAGGTCACTGGTCAATGGAAAATACCGTTATATCTCCAACTTCTGTTAGCTATGATTCTTTATGTTCAACATATCTCTGTCTTGCGTAAGTTTCAATTCATTACATTTAACATATTGATGAGATCGTGTGTTATCTTTACTACCTGAAATAACTTACAGTTTCACCAACATTGTCACAATTGGCAAGAGTGTAATTTTTCCCTGAAAAAAATTATTGAATTAAAATGTAAGTATGTTATTTCCCCTTCTATCTCATCATTGCAACTTCTCTCTTGTCCCCCTACAGTCCATCTCAAATGTATATTGTATACTTCTGTAATTATTATGTTACACACACACACACACACACAAACACAGCACATAAATAGACATATATGAAAATATATGCATAATGATATAAATATGAATGGCCGATTCTGTTCAGTGTTGCTTGTCTGTATGTTTTGAGGACTGCCCACTTGTTACTGGATGAACAGTGAGTGCTCTCATCCTGGGAACACTAATTCTCCCTCTCTAACAATTCTCAGGTGGCTACACTTGGATGCTTACCCAGCAGACTGCCCCCTGCAGGGGATCTAGTGCCACTGTCACTGTTCAGGGCTTGTTCAGGCAGCCATATTGTTGGGGCATCATGGGTGCAGCTTACCTTCCCTTTCTAGAATGCACAACCTCACAGCGGACTTCCTGGGCCCCTGGCTCTCATAGTCAATATGCCCCCTGTGCAGAGATATTCCCTGAGCTTTATGTGCAGGGATTGTGGTGTAGGGTATCTTTTGGGTCAAAGCACCACAAGACAATAGTTCTCTGAACTTTGTAAGTTTTAGTTTTCTGGAATGTTCTCTGTGCTGCAGAAAGAAGTGCCTTTGATGAGCAGTGACAGCTACACTCCAGTGTAGGTCTAAAGAAAAGTACTTGGAGTTCAGTTAGGAATTATGATGGTTTAGTGGCCTTAGTATGTTCTTCTCTATGATTTAAGACCTATGAAGTTATCAGAGGCAGCTTCCAAGCATTATGTAGGTTCTTGTGTCCACTCTAACTCCCATTAACAGCTGCTGCTAAGGCCAAGATATAAGACACACTGTGGCACCTTTAGGGATATCATGCCATACTGGTCATTGTTGTGGTTCATGGTCATAACAGCTAAGCAGGACTATTTATTGTTTCTCTCCCTTGGCACTTGCAAAGCATGTTCCAGCACTGAGCAAAGTCACCCTTAGGCAGGAGACCATCAGGTCAGATACAGCTCCAATCCCATGACTCTTGTGTCTCCAGGGCATGGTGTAAGAATTTGGGACAACTGAAATATACTCTCCATAAAGAATAACTACATAGAAAAATGTCTTGACGGGTGATGCCTGGGGGGCGCTCACCAACCTAAGACAAAGTGCCTGTGTGTTCTGGGCAGGCATCTCCATGACGGGTAAGGTGACCTGCTGACGTTCCACGCAACCTAAATCAGAAGCTCATTTATTAGTAAAAGGGGGACCTGTAGGGCCATGGGCCCCGTTTTGGGTAACTGTTGCCTTGCTTGCTGACCTTGACCTTGAGATCCTCCCTGTGCTAATTCCCTACTGGGTTCCACCCTCCTGAATGCTTAAGGGAAGTTGCTTGTCTGTGTATCCTACATAATGGGCATTAACAGCTTAGATGCAAGATTGTAAAACATCAGTAGTGAACTTCTGCTCTCCGGGGTTCTCCCATTGTGCTATAAGCCTGTATTTAAGACCTCCTCCCTCCTTCAATAAACAGCATTCGGCATTAAAACAAACAAACAAACAAACAAACAAATAAATGAATACACACACAAACAAACAAAACAAAAACAAAAAAAAGAAAAATATCTTGAAATAAAATGCAAACTTGAGCAGCAATGAGGAGGCCAGCAGATCTTCAAGAAATAGGCAAAATGAAATAATTTGGTGAATAGAACAGCTAGCAATTTCTCAAGGGAAAAGAAATTGAATTATGTAGCTAGAGAGTTTTCTCTCTGGGTCCCACCAAGCCCCGGCAGTCCCATATCCAAACCCACTTATAAAATAAGCATACTGACTCTTATATTATTTAAACTGCTTGGCCATTAGCTCAGGCCTATCATTGTCTAGCTCTTACTCTTATAATTCAGCCCATTTCTATTAATCTATACTTTGCCATGTGCCTCGTGGCTTACTGGTACCTTACATCTTCCTTGTCTTGGTGGTGGCTGTAGGCAGTCTCCCCCTCTGCCTTTCTGTTCCCTCAATTCTCCTCTCTGTTAGTCCCGCCTATACTTCTTGTCTGGCTACTGGCCAATCAGTGTTTTAGTTATACAGGACGATATCCACAGCAGACTTATTTTGCAATCCTCTTTGTAGCCAGCATAGAATCTTACCACCTTTAGAAGTAAGAAAGAGAAAAAGAGATGCCACTCTTTTTTAACTAGGGCAGTGGTTCTCAAAATGTGGGTCAGGATCTCTTTGGCAAACTTTCAAATCCAAAAGTATTTACCTTACAATAAATAACCTTCATAAACGTGCAGTTATGAAGTAGCAGGGAAAATGATTTTATGGTTGAAGTTCAAAACGATATGAGAAACTGTATTAAAGGGTTGCAGCTTTAAGAAAGGTGATTCTGCAGAGCTAGAGGGTGTAGCTAGAGTTTTCCTGCCTGGGTCCACAGTCAGGACAAATCTCTCTCACCCACCAGTCCCACAGCCACTCAGACCCAACCAAGTACACACAGAGACTTATATTGTTTACAAACTGTATGGCCATGGCAGGCTTCTTGCTAACTGTTCTTATATCTTAAATTAACCCATTTCCATAAATCTATACCTTGCCATGTGGCTAATGGCTTACCGGCATCTTCACATGTGGCTTGTCTTGGTGGCAGCTGGCAGTGTCTCTCCCTCAGCCTTCTACTTCCCAGAATTCTTTTCCTCCTTGTCCTGCCTATACTTCCTCCTGCCTTACTACTGGCCAATCAGTGTTTTATTTACTAACCAATCAGAGCAACACATTTGCCATACAGAACATCCCACAGCAAGGGGGTCACCAAGAAGAGGGAAAAATGACCAGACTGGAGAAGGGCCAGAGCCCAGAGAAGATGAAGATGGAAACATAAATTTCTGAGAGAACTTGACCAGTCCCCAAAGCAGAATCAACTGTAAGGATCACTCGCCATAATGGCCAGCACAGCATAGCACCATTCTACATGAGGAAATGTCTGCTGTCCTGAGGCCAATCTCCTGTGAGACACTGTGCATGGAGGGCAGTGTGCCTGTAAACAGGATATCATTTAGTAAAGATTTTACCCAATTCTATTAATGGCAAACATTTCAGGGGCATTTGAAACTGGCAAAATTCACTTTAAATAAAGAAAAATGCAAATTATTCCTGGCCTGAGGGGCTACATGGCCATCCACTAAAAATTGCTAACATTCTCACTATAATTGGGAGGCGAAATCTGTAGTCCACTTGAATAGAGACTGGTCCTAGAGGCAAGGCTAGAACAACAGAATAGACAGAGCAGATACATTAAGAACTGCTGCATCTCCTGTCAGTATCCCTCAAAGATAACTTTTCAGAGATTCAGACAAAACTGAAGACCAGCAGAACATTGGTGGGAAGTAAAAATGATATGCAAAGAGAGGACTGGATTTCTGGCCAGGAACTAAAACACAGTGACTCTCCATTGGAAATCGCTAATCTACTGATTATATAACACAGTGCTTTAAATACACAGCATGCACATCATGAAGTAGCAACTCCTGGATTTTTGTCCCAGGGCTTCACTCACACAACTGTGCTATGAATCAATCACTAATTTTTGCTTCAAGCCACCAAGTTATTCAATTTTATGACACAGAAACTTGGTTAAACCATGAAAAAATGTGGGAGACTAAATATAGTAATGGCTTTGGCCAGGCATGGTGGCTCAGGCCATTAATCCCAGCACTTGGGATGCAGAGGCAGTTCAATCTTTTTGAGTTTGAGGCCACCCTGGTCTTGCTACACACAGAAATTCTGTCTCAAAAAGACCAATAACAATAACAAAAAATATCTGCTTTGGGAACAAGAATTATATAATTATTTTAGTTTCAAGTGTGAGCACTGTGTTTCAGGGAGCTGCATTACGGACTTCTGCTGAAAACTTCTGTAAGCACAATTGCCTTGTTCAGTTTTGTTGTAAACTGATGCACCATGTGATGCACTGTTCTTGATAGCTTCTTGATGTGTGGTAGATAAAAGTGATAAAATAAAGCTTACAAAGAAAAAAAAGAATTATATAATTATTTTAGTTTCAAAATAAGTATGACATGCCTTGCTCTGTACATTGAATGTATAGGTGTATTTGTGGATTTTAATAGTCCATATATTGTCTCTGAGTCTTCTTGAAATCAACACTATGTGGAGTATATCCCATAACGATTTGGCACATGTATTCTCTAGATCTGACTTAATTTCTTATAGGTACTGCAAAGAAGAGATTTGAAAGAGTTGGGCTTGCAACCACATACCTTTCAACTCAAAATATGTTGTTGCATTTGATTATGACTGTGGAGTACACTATGGCAGACACTTTAATAACCAAAGTTGACAATGTAATGAAAATCTGTGCATCAGGGTTTTATTCCTTACATATGTGTTTCACTCCTGTTCAAATCTTTTGCAGTGTCTCTCCATGGCCTCTGACATAATCATATAAATTGATAAACAGTAACTGAATGTCCTCACCCAGCACACCTCCCCTCCAGAGTTTTCCAGATATGACATGTCTAACACAGCAGGGTTCATGCATGAGTTGTAAACACAAGAAACTCCTTCCCTCACACTGACATTAGAATACAATGAAAGAAGCCTGGGAGGAAAGAGACAGGACTGCTCAACAAGGGGACCTGGACTGGACCTATGAAGAGCAGGAACCAACATGAGCACTTTGCTTTACTGGTTGGACATGGCAGTGCCCATGTGAAGGACAGTGAGGAAGTGGTTTTGTTCTGGCTCACTGTAAGAAGCATCTGCACACAGTGGAACCTCTGGAGTAAGGACAGGGGAAGGCATCCCAGCTGCAGCTGCAGAAAAAGACCCAGGAATGTAACCACAGCAGCCACATCAGTCAAGAACTGCAGAATGGAAATGAAGAAATAATGGAGTCTCAGATTAGAATGAAAGGAGCAACCTGGAAGAAATCAGTGAAACCAGAAGAAATCAGCATCAGGTCATAAAAGTGACAAACACAGATTAATATCCAAAAAGAATGAACAATCACTGCATACAGTGATGGATATTCAAGCCAGGCAAAGAGGAATTTTCCCTCACAGAATAAATGAACACAAGTATGTAATCACCAAATTTTAATACCTATAACAAAAGCATGATAGTGAAAAAAGTTTAAATTCCACATAGAATGGGCCACAAAAATTAGGCATATGTAAGAAATATGAAATGGACAATAGAAAGTATTTATCATGTCTATAAAGTATAGTCAAGCGTTTTCTGTCACAGACTCAGATATCCTAGGCATCCTTGAATTTGAAGCAGGGGAGGACCAGAGGTCCAGTCTCCCCTTCACAAATGCAGAGATGACAGGGATGTGCAATACAGTAGACTGGAGTTTCTTTTCTATCACAGGTCTGTTTACTTTAAATCACATGAATACTCACAGGTCTGTGAGTTCTTCCTCACCCTGCTGACCTGACACAAAAGCCTGGCACTGGAACACAAGGCCATGAGAGTTTTTCACCTGTGTCTAGGTGCCCTACTATTAGACAACTCAATAATTTCAATGAAAACATGTTGACACAACCATTTTGGGACAAGCAGACATCAGCACTTTTTTACAATTACTCCGGCCTAAATTAAGGATGGAGGACCTTTCAAAGATTTAAGGAAACCCAGCCATTAAGGTGAAGCTTGGTTGAGCTTCTCTAGTCCCCAATCTGCTTTGCACTGGATCTTTCCCTCCGTATGTCTGCAGAATGTGTGTTCTCTCACCCTAGTCAAAGCTTTTCTATAGCAGCTGATTCTGGTAGATCTGTCTGCTGTGCTCCAGAATTTCCCAAAGGTGAACTGTTGGGACTTAGGATTTTTCCTTTCTTAATTCTTTAGCTGGCAGATAAGAGGAACACGATCAAGACCTCAACATCATTTCACTAGGCCAGCTACAGATTTCAGGAAGGACCGGGCCCCATCGAGATAACTGGCGGTTAGAAAGGTAAACTAAAACCAGTTGAAGTTCAATAATGCATCACGTGGGAGGGAAATCATCAAGGTATCTGGAAAAACATGTTCATAAGGAAATTACTGAGAAATCTGACAGCGTCCATGTGAGAACCGCGCAGCTAGAGAAGCATGCTTCCCCACCAAAGCTGCTCACTGAGCTCCCAGCTCCACCTCAGGAGCAGGCAGTCAGCTGACCGTCATTAGTTTGCAATCCTGGACTTTGCGCACCCATCTACTCTGCGCTACCAGGCAGCTCTCCTGTCCCAGAAGACCAAGACAGGCTCAGGCTGCACGTGAAGTACTAAAAAAACTGTCACTCAGGGCACAGTCCGTATCGCCTTCTCCTCAGACCTGAGGGGCAGCATCAAGTGACCCCGTCCTTTCAGCATAGCACCAAGGCAGTTCTTTAGGTCCTCCCACCCAGCCCAGGTCCGCTCCCTCCAAGACGGACCCCCGCACCCCGCACAGTGCCTGAGTCTGCGCTGCACCCCGGACCAACCTCCATGTCAGAGACGCAGAAGGAATGCAGAGCGGACGGGACTCTCGCCCAACTTTGGGGAAGACTCACGTGTGTGGACTAAACACTAGAAGGCGATTTCCTGGACGGCTCCCTGTGATGTCACAGTCGCCTAGACTACATTTCCCAGAAGTCTGAGCAAAGGAATTCTTGGACTCCTAGTGAGAGGATGTTTTACTCTTCCTGGATTAGTTCTGCTTCCTTCAGGAGAGTTTGGGAGGAAGAAACAGAATCCAGTCGACAGCTGTTAGGCCTGAGAAAAACCAATTGCACGAATGTCTGATTAAAGCAAGCTTCGTTTTACAGGTGCACCGGGAACTGGCCGTTGGCTTTCTCCCCCAAAGTCGGTATTTCAGAGAGCAGCACCGCCCCCCCCCCATAGCCTTTTCAGTTCCCTTGGTGGGGGTTATGGTTAACAGAAAACAGATGTCAAAATAGTTGGCCGTTAGAAAGGCTGAAATAAAAAAAAAAAAAAGTTGAAGTTCAATAACATATCACGTGGGAGGGGAATCATCAAGGTATCTGGAAAAACATGTTCATAAGGCAAAAGTACAATCACAGGTTATTTTTGTAAGGCAAACGATGGGCAAACATCATGGATCACAAGTTCAGTATAGGTTGAAACATGTTTTGGAGGGTACATTAGGCTTAGGAAACAGAAACTTATTCTTGTAAGCTATGGAGACTTAATATCAATGTATAACAATGTGGCTACTGTTTTGGTTTCAAACAGCCGTGGGGAGTCAGCCTGGCGTTCACTTCCACATCCACAACAGGAGATGTGTGTATGTGAGTCAAGACTTTGACAGAAATATTAGGCTTACAATCATTGCTGTCCATAAGTACTGATTTTAATCTTCCTAGAGTGATAAGAATAATGTTGACTCAGTTGTACTGTAAAATGATAAAGCAATACTGTGAGGGATAATCTTTTTGTACCCTGTGAAGATCTGTCTTTGCCAAGGCACCTTCTGATTGGTTGAATAGAGCTGAGTGGCCAATAGCTAGGCAGGAGAGGACAGGCAAGATTCATGGGATGGAGCAGAAGAAATGAATCCAGCTGCAGGGAGACACCAGCTACGGGAGGACCAAGACAGGCATACAGAATGGTGGAGACATTTAAAGAAAAGCCATGGGACAAAATGGAAATTAATAAAGGCAGGTTAAATTAAGTTATAAGAGCTAGTTGGGGAGAAGCCTAAGCTAAAGGCCAAGCATTCATGATTACTAAGAAGTCTCCCTGAACCTGTTCCTCATGCTGGATTACCTTGCCCAGCTTTTATGCAGGAGGAGGAGCTCAGTCCTGCCTCAACTTGATGTGTCATGCTTTTTCAAGCACATGGGAGGCCTGCCCCTTTCTGAATGGAGACAGGAGGAGGAGTGGATGGGGAGGGGGATAGATGTGAGCATGTGTGGGGGAGGGAGGTAGGAGGAGAGGAGGGAGGGGGAACTGATTGGTATGTAAAATAAATGAAAAAAATGTTAATAAAATAAAATGAAAAGAAAAGAAAACTGTCATCATGTACAGGCTGTTGGTTCAGACAAGTAAGTGAAACTTGCACAATACAGTAACAAGGGCATGAAAAGTATCTTTAAAGATGATTTTGAATGCTGGGCGGTGGTGGCACATGCCTTTAACCCCATCACTCAGGAGGCAGACACAGTGGATCTCTGTGAGTTCAAGGCCAGCCTGGTTGAGAGAGCGAGATCCAGGTCAGGCTCCAAAGCTACACAGAGAAACCCTTTCTCAAGAGAGAGAGAGAGAGAGAGAGAGAGAGAGAGAGAGAGAGAGAGAGAGAGTTTCCTGGCTGCAGGGGAATGCAGCCTCTAAGGACTGAAGTCCTTTCTCTTCAAAATTGCATTTCCACAAGTCAGAGATTTTAATGGATGTATTCTTTTCTTGGAGCACATTTATCATTGACTCAAATTACCAGGATTGCCAATATTGACCTTATTCTCTCCAATGACTGTAATAGATTTCATGTCGTCTATAAAAGTCAAGTTACTGTGGTTGTTGAATGAGAATGGAATGAAAAATACTATTGTTTATCTTGTGGTATAAAAATGTCTGTTTAGGGGTTGGAGATTTAGCTCAGTGGTAGAGTGCTTGCCTAGCAAGCACAAGGCCCTGGGTTTGGGCCTCAGCTCCGGCGGGGAGGGGATGTCTGTTTAAAAGCAGATAAGCATCCAATCATTTATCCCAGCTTGGAGTATGTAGTTCATCGGTGAACGCATGGAGCCTCAGGTTTACTGTGGAAGCAAGACTGTACAGGGTCCAAACGTATTAAACACTCCCTACCCTCACAGTCCTAGGAAAGCTGCAGTAACCAAGATGTCCTACCAGTGCAGGTGTGGCTAGCTGCTCATTAGGCAGCCAAGTGACCACATGGAGTCAAATCTTTGGTCACCTCTTGGACCCTATGACCCTGCTGAAGGCAGGTACTAAACTTGAGATGCAGTGCAGTCTACTATCTACAGGCTGTGGTTAGAGCCACAGACCCCAAGTGGCCTCTGAGATGACCACAACATAGACTCTGGGTGCTGCAGTGACAGATGGTACCTCACAAGTCAGCACCTCACACCCATAGTGACCTCACACCACTGGAACCAGGGCTCAAGTGCCTGCACTGTCCCCACTGTTTCAGTCCTGGGCTATGCTCAGGGAACCTCACACCTTAATATGGAGATATTTGTACCCCATGTTCATTGCTTTTTTATTCTCAGTTGTAAAAAACCAGAATAATAAAAAAAACACCTGAATCAACATAAGCATTGAAGAACACAAAACGGACAATATGTTGGTAAATATAAATGTATATGTTTTCATATACACACACAGATGTGATGCTATTTGGCCCTAAAAAAAGTATAATCACAAAATATACAGAAAAACAGATGGACATTGACTGTATATCAGATGAGATCATCCAATCATATAAAAAAATACATTGCATTTTCTCTCCCATATGGTTAATATAAACAGTAATATATGTGCATATGTGAGGAAATGTATATGTGTGTACACTAAGTAAAGTAGAAAAGAGAATAAGGTTTAAATATTTGAAGATGAGGAAGGATCTAAAGCAGGTAATGAACATGGGTTGTGAAAGAGGACATAAGGTAACAGATTGTCAGATTCCAACTCGGTCATGGACTTTAATTTTCGTGGTGCATAAGTGCATAAAATATATTCAGTACAGATAGTGTCAAATCCAGTGTGAATGCCTCAGATTCTGTTCAGAATGTCTGTTCTAACTGCACAGAAGTTCATCACCTCTGTAATGTCACAGGCTTTCTGCTGGGCCACCAACCTGCTCCCAAATCATGACATGGAGACTTATTAGTTATGAATGCTCGGCCTTAGCTTAGGCTTGTTTCTTGCTAGCTCTTATAACTTAACCTGTTTTTCATGCACATTTTGCCTCGGGCTCTTTACCTTCTTTTTCTCTGTACATCTTACTTCCCTGCTGTCTCCATGGCTATCTGGAAGCTGCCTGGCTTCAGGCCCTGGGGGGTCCCTCTCTGCCTTCTTTTTTCCTTTTCCTCCATCCTAGATTTCTCTTTCTATTTTTTCTTTCTGCCTGCAAGCTCTGTCTATTCCTCTCTAGCAATTGGCTATTTAGCTTTTTATTGAACCAAAAAGGTGCCTTAGGCAGACAAAGTGAAGCAAATTCAGCATATCTTTATATCATTACCAAAGGCAGCAGAAACAAATGTAACACAACGTTACACAGTTACAGTAACATTTCATAGCATCAACAAATGAAACATACCTTTCCCAAGTTAAAACAATATTTGAGAACACTGTAGTTTTCAGGTATTGTTAATTTTCACATATGAATTATTTTACTTTTAAAATATGTTTAATATTACAGAGAGAAATGAGAAATGGCAGCTGAGATTATGAGTCTGCTCTACTATTTAGTCCCAAGAGTACGCATTTCTGCTATGGCATTTACTCCTGAGGATGGTGTCTCTGCTATTCTATCAACTGCTGAGAGCATATGTTTCTGTTGTATTATTTACTCCTGAGTGTGTCTGTCCCTGTTATACTATCTACTCTTGACAGTGTGAGCCTTTGTTATACTGTTTACTCCTGAGCTTGGGAGTCTATGCTGAACTACTACTCCTGAGAGTGTGTGTCTGCCATAGTTCTCACATAAACTGGTCCCCTGAAAAACTTTCTGCACAGATTATAACTTTAAATAATCATTTGTAGCTGGAGAATTTTCTCTCCAGCTCTTGCCAACCTTGCCAGTCCCAGAGCCCACTTATGCAATAGGCACACAGACTCTTATATTATTTAAACTGTTTAGCCTAATAGCTCAGGCTTCTAGCTATCTAGTTCCTTTATCTTAAATTAACCCATTTTTATTAATCTATAAGTTACCACGTGGCTTGTGTCTTACCGGTACCTTACATCTTGCTTGTCATGGTGGTGGCTGGCAGCATCTCTCTGCCTCAGCCTCTCATTTCCCAGACCTCTCTTCTCTCTTTGTCCCACCTATACTTCCTGCCTGGCTCCTGGTCAATCAGTATTTTATTTATCAATCAATCATCCATAGCACCTCCCCCTTTTCTTTTTTTTTTTTAAAGGAGGGTTTTAACTTTCACATAGTAAAATTACATATAACAGAACAATTATCAAGCAAGAATTACAGTTACAATATCTAGTCTATTTGTATTTGGCAAAATTAAAGAAGATATATCTATCCTGTATTTGTGAGTCTAAGGTTTCATATCTAACTTATCTTTTATTATAACTGAGGAAATTATAACTAGCTAGTCTTCAACTACATCAAAGACCTCAGAAGGATATAGTATTACCTGAGAAATGGGAAAAGGATGCAAGCAACTTTTGGGAGTCTTGCAAAAGTAGACAGAGACAGCTGGCATCCTGGACAGTTCTTTGGTAAAGTTGAGGCATCTGTCTTCAGCCCACAGGCCTAGAGTCTGTCAGTCACTTTTCTCTGTGTCCTGTAGAATGTCTGGCAGTTTCCTCTGAAGGACCATTTAGCCAAGCAAAGTTCAGTGGTCACCTTCCTATGGGTCCTGCATGTCCAGTTGATCAAGTAGTCCAGGCAAGAACAGTTTCTTGCCCAAT